TTTAACCGGTTAATTTTACAACCATATGCTTAATATCTATGAATTATTTCCATATTCTTAATGTATTGTTTTCTTAGCTAACTTGAATTTATGTCATTCATTAATTATTTCGATTATATGCACTAAATATCACGTTTACCTGGCTAACTTCCACCTGTTTAGTATCTGTTAACCATACTGATAACACATCGACGCCCATAAATCATTCGTGAGTAAAACTGCAACGACGCAAACGAGTTCTTTGCGAAAGAAAACCCAATAATTGTGCTATATATTTTTGCTAGAGTACTTAATGTATTTTTGATAATTTTATAGAATAAAGTTTCCAAAACACTTCTTAGGAATATCAAAATAGCTATTGTGATTACTTTAAAATATCTTATTATATTTTTTCATTTTACTTCTCATAGTAACTTATGCCATTTGACATAAAAACCTGTCTGCTGTTTACCAAATCTCTAGACTGAGCAGGTACATGATAAAACAACACACAAAAGAAAAAAATCAATGTAAAGCTAGCTGTTAGTAAAAATTAAATGAAATGCCTCCAGTCTTCTTTAAAGTATATCCAGTATAAAATATTTAATGCTATTTGATAAATTTTACAAAATTGATTTTATTCTCAAATTTATTTTATAGAAAGTACCAGATCCTATGTAATAATAATGCGTTCTACTTACAGATGTTTTATTTTTAGGATAGTATTACAAAAATTAAGTTTGGTCATAGATAATGTCTTTAAAGAAATGTATTCAGTTGCCATTTGCTGATAGGTCCTTAATGTTTTTTCATTAATGGTCCGTAGAAGTACTTAATTTCCATGTGTACGAACCCTGGAAAAATTGCAACAAATCCTAGTCAATAAAAATGGTGCCGATTTCCAGATAATCTTTTAGAGAGAAAATCTTGAAGAACTGCTTCAAAAATTCCAACTTCTGACAGCCTTCCTTGTGATCCATATTTGGTTATTTGAACATTATAAACAACTTGTCAGTGAAGATCGTGAAAAGCATTTTCCAGAAGCTTCGAGATTCATATTGGAACATACCCATGTAAATGATATTTTCACAAGAGCAAAGAATATTGAGAAAGAAAAACAGTGTTGGAAATCATAGAATATTTACCCTCAAATCTGAAAGCCGAATAGCCTTTTGGCAGAATGAAAAAAATCAAATTCACATAATTCTAGGAATTATCTGGAATGTGAAAGAAGATGTATTCAAAATTAAAATAAAACCACCTGTTGAATCTCAAATTGAACACTTACCCTGAAATCAAGTTTTCAAGTTTCTTGCTAAAAAAGAATTATATTAAAACTATTCAGTTAATTGACTTTTGCAATGCTTCTGAACATGCATATGATGCAGTGTTTTATCTAAGAACAGAATTCGAAAATATAAAATTCCCCGTTTCATTGTTTACCTCAAAAACAAAAGTTGCTCCTGTGCAGGCAGTAACTTTGCCAAGACTCGAACTATGTGTGCCACAAGTTTTCTGTTATTTTTTAATACTGTATCACATTTTTTGGTTAGCAATTTCATATGATAAAATATTTTATGATTATCTATTGAATAATTGAGTGTTAAAATTGAGTGTGTTTTAGGACTCTGGCTTTTCAAGCACATTGTACCCAATCATGTCGTGAATTGTAAAATGTTTTAATAATTTAAAATTGTTGCTTATTAGAAAATTTGTCGAAGACATTTTTGTAACACAATTATAAATTTTTGTTCGATTCAGGTTTCAACATGTCCAGAAAAGGGTTGATTTGAGAAACCCTCAAGACCTTGAAGAAATTTACCATTTATTGGAAGCATCAGATGAAGGTGATGAGGGTGTCAAAGATGAAGATTTTGGTGTCGAAAATGATATTGATGGTGAAGAGGGATTAGAGACAGAACAAGAGGGAAGGGAAGAAAACGGCATTGAAGAAAATACTGATTTTTATTTGGGGAAAGATCAAGTGGTGTAAAAATCCCCTGCAACACAGGGTTCGAAGGGGATAGCATAACATCATTATTCACTCACTTCGAGTTATTGGAGCAGCAAAATCAGGGAAAATTCCTTTTGAATGTTGGAATTTCATGTTTAAAGTTGATATAGTAAAGTATACCAATTAGTATATCGATACCATCAGAAGATTATTTTCAAGAGAAGTGGATGTGAAACACACGGATTTGCTTCAAATAAGAGTGCTCATAGGATTATTCTACTTAGCTAGTGTTTACAAGGGAAATAAACTATCCCTCGAGGAACTTTGGGGACAAATGATGACGACTTCGCGCAGTGTAACCTTGTTATGAGCATCAAGACATTCAAGTTTCTTATGTGGTATCTCCATTTTGATGATCGTGAAACAAGATGTGCGGAAAAAGAGCTGGATTGGTGCAATCCAGAATCCTTGAACCGAATGCTTTTCCCCTTTAAGAAATCACCTCCTTTTTGCAACAAAGATTCTTTTGTGTAGTTTAATGGATTCTCACAGGGGTGCATCTATGTTGCAAAATGAAGACCTTTGAAAAAGATAAGTGGTTAAAACCCTAGGGACGTCAAATTTGACATTTCACCCCACTTTTCAGCCTGGAAAATGGGGGAAAAAGACATGGCCACTAAAGTGGACAACCCCATCTTTTCAAAGAGAGGATTCTTTAGCCACTATAATGGCCATCCTGTCTTCAAAAGGTTAATAAGAGATGTGTTTAAAATTTTTTTAAAAACTGCCAAGGGGGCTACTGCATTGGTGAAAATGTTACGGTAGATGAAATGTTGTCTGCTTTCTATGGTAAATGTCCTTTTAGACAATACATTCTGTTTAAACCAAGCAAATATGGAATCAAAATTTTCTCCCTTGTAAAATGTTCTACTCCTTCAATTTTGAAATTTATGCAAGAAAACAAAATGAAGGACCTTTCTGTGTAAGCAGTAAAGCACCTGATGTGGTGAAAAGGTTAGCAGAACCTTTTGTTTGGTTCTGGAAGGAACATAATGGTCGACAACTGCTTTATACAGAATGAACTGGAAAAAAAAAAAAAAAACACCTATCATACGTTTGTACAATCAGAAAAAAACGAACAGAGCTACCAAAAGAATTCATTGCTACCAAAGCCAGACCACAACACTCCAGTAATTTTGTCTTCAGTAGTAATGGGTTGGTGTCCTACGTTCCAAGAACAAACAAAAATCTCCTCCTAATATAATCATTGCATGATGACCAAGCTATTGATCTTTCTACTGGTGAAACAGAAATCCATTTCGACAATGAAACCATATTAGGAGTGGATGTTGTGATGGTATACTCAGACTCAAAAATAGTTTTAGACTGAGTTTATCTCCTCAAAGATGGAAAATTTTTGCTGTTCATATAGGGAATCAAAAATTCAAGACTTTTCAAAAGCTTCATGGAGTTAGGCGAAGAGTCAAGAAAATTCAGCAGATTGTGCCTCAAGAGTTATTTCTGATGCAAAACTTAAATGTCGCACTTCGTGTTGGCATGGCCGTCAATGGTTGTATCAGAATTATATTTTCCATCTTTGTAGAAATCTACAGGAAGCATGCGTGGCTAATAGGAGAAGTGAAGAAAAATTGTTTCTGTCAGTCAACATCACCATCAAAATAATTGAAACCATGCCGAAAAAAGTGTGGGTATGAAGAGGACGTCTCTTGTGAGGGGGGGGGGAGGTATGATTTTATTAGTTAACCAAAAATTGCTGGTTTTTAAGTATCAGATATTGGAACTATTTTAACAATGAGTATTTCACCCAATATTTTCGTTAGTAGAAAAAGTAGTCATTTAGGTTTAGATTCTTGCAATTTCCTGGGTATTTGTAATTTTTGAAGCTGAAGTCCTGTTAGTATGAGCTAACTTATTTATGCCAGAGGTTTAGATTTTTGGGGAAAATGCATGAAATTAATGTATGTTAGCTAAAAATATACAAGAATTTAAAGACCAAAAATTAATTTCTGAACCCATTTTATAGTTACACGGTATGGAACACAAAGAATTTCAACCCTGGAATTTTCTTGTTACAGCATGATAACACCTTGAGAGTTGGCAGAAAAAAAAAAAAAAAAGAGATGCATATAATAACTAAATAATTAACTAAAATTATATTTACCTGTCTTCAGATGGTACTTCAAAAACTTGCTCAAAAATTCAGACCCCACTGTTTCAGATCAACTCTGAGCTTAGCATATTGCCAGGAATGACTAATTATGTGTACTGGGTGATAGCAGAAACCTTTACGAGTTAGAATGGAAGTGAGAATTCAAAATACATTGGCAACATTGAGGAGTAGCGTACAAATAATTCCAACACAACTACTGTTCCATTAATGGAGTGCTAGGCATGAATGGGCTAATATAATACAGTACAAAGTCTGTAATCCAGACGTCCATTATCCGGAATGATCTATAATCGAGACCTCAAAGCCACAAACTTACGCATGCGCGTTTGATGCACGCGTCTGCTACGCATGCACGTAAAGCCAGTAAAGCGTTTACCCCATGTGTGCTTCCAATAGTGAAGAAAGTAATATGAGAACGTTATTGAAAATGAAAAAATTTCGATTGACAAGTTAGTCCAAGTTAGTCAGTATTCTTAACACAGCAATTACAGGACTTGAACAGTGGAACTTTGTAACAGAACAAGAAATTGTCTGTTTATAGAATTAAAGAGAAAGTATTAGCACAAAAAACGAAGCAACTTAAACAACTTACATTGATAGAAATGTTTACTAAAGTAAACAAATAAATATTAAGCCTTTTTTTTTTTGTAAATTTTGATACCCTTTAGATCATAATTGCTCTTTATTTTATAAATTATGGTTTCATATTTTTAATTGTATAAGTTCTGTATGCCATCTTACCAGATTTAAATTGATGATCTATAATCCGGAATCGCCGAATTCCCGGCGAGTCCGGATTACGGACTTTGAACTGTATTTATGAAACTGACTTTTTTTTTTTTTTTTTTTTTTTTTTTTTTTTTTTTTTTTTTTTAGGTTTTTGTCCATTTTGTTAACATGAGTGTATTTTCTTTGAATCAGCTGGGGGTAAAATGGGTAAGTAGTTTTTGGAACTACTCTGATATGCGCCCTCAAGTCGCCAAATTTCTCGCCAAACATTTTTGGCGAGAAACCCCACGCTGCCTTATTGCTATCTAAATTTTTTGTCTACGTTTCGAACTTTAAGCCTAAAATGTCTCCAAAAACACGGTTTTCGCTAATGCAAAAACCACGTTTTGCACACACATTTTAAGCTAAAAATTCGAAACAAAAACATTATATAGCAAAACCGTAAAGTTTCTAGCCAAAACTATTTGACAAGAGTCCATGTACACATCGATATGTTTTAACTTAAAAAAAATCTACGAATGGCACAATCTAGGCAACGAACGAATCTACGAATTACGCACACCTCGCTTTAATAAATTAACATAAAAACAATTTCAATGAATACCATGTACACAGCATCATGTTTAAAGTTAAAAAAAAATCTGTGAATTGTACAATTTAGGCAGCAAATAAATCTACAAACTACACACACCTCACTTTAATAAATTATTATAACAACAATCAATTTCAAAGAATACCATGTACACAGCGTCCTGTTTGAACTTAAAAAAGCATCTATGAATTGCACAATTTAGTCAACAAACGAATGTACGAACTACGCACACCTCACTTTAATAAATGAACGTAACAACAATAAATTTCAAAAAATACCATGTATACAGCGTTCTGTTTCAACTTTAAAAAACATCTACGAATTGCACAATTTAGATGGTATGCACTAATCAACGAAATAACTAAAATAAATTTCAAACAAATTAAAAAAAAACAGTAACAACAAAAATTCATACTAAAAAAACAATGAACATAACGTTCTACAAAATAACAAGAATAAAATATACTTACCATGAATTAATGCTTTCTCAAACAGCAGAAATACCAATTTCATAATGCCTTTAACATGCTGCCATGTAATCACTATCGTATTTATATGACAGCCAGACACACTATCCAGAAAATTCATACTATGGTTCAAAAATGAATAAAATAACAAATAATCACAAATCCCTACTTCTATCATGCACAGCCACTAAAATAAATCTCCCAGACCCTCTTTTCACACCTTCAAATACCCACTGCCCCTCAACAGGATGGCCACGACGATATTTCCTTTTGCTGAACTTCAATTCAACAACTTTCACCATTTTATCTTTCCCCCTAGCTTCTCAGACACAGAGCATGACGCGAACCAACGAACTCCACGAAAGATTTTTCAACGTCAACAGGGTTGCCATACAACACGCAATCATGCCAAAAACTAGTGCAGAACACATATCGCCACATTTGATAAAATTAGGGCGTATATCAGAGTTGTACCTAGTTTTTTTTAATTATTCAGAAATATTGATTAAATTTCAGTAATCATACTGAACTTTTTCTACATAAACTCTAGACCTTGTATTTAGTGCAGTCAAAAGTCTTTAATCTGAACGTCCATAATCCGGGAATGATTTATAATCCGGACCTCAAAGCTACAAACTTTCTGTGCATGCGCATAATACCTTTACGCATGCGTGTTTAATGTATAATGGACGGTATAAGTTAAGCAAAAATTATCTAATTATCTATTTCAGTTAATGTTGCAGATTGCGTTTTTCCTTAATCTTTTAATTGGATCCAGCTTATTATTTTTTGCAGACTGTTAGAGCAATTTTTTAAAAGTAAGCTTGAACTTTCGATTATGTCAAAAAAAAATTTCCGTTTCTGGAGCTGCCAAAGGATCTACAAAGCGAAAGCATGTTTCGATGTCCATGAAACAAAGAGTGGAATTGCCGCAAAAAATGGATAAAGGCATATCCTTTGTTTCTCTAACCATTCCGAAATCTGTTTATCAATTTCATGCTGCTCTGCCGGGGGGGGGGTCGCGGCACGCAATGAACTGGAAGTTGATCTTGTTGGCAATGGAGATAAAGGCAAAGCATATTTTGCTTCCCTTAAGTAAAGCTAAGACTAATCTAAATAAAATTCATGCTTTATTCTGTAAATTAAAATAAAATAAGTTAACGCTGTAGCCTTTACATTTAAAACCATTTGAGCGAAAGCAAACTAGCATAATGCTAACTCATAATACCAAAACATTTGCCGATACCGGCGTACATATATATAATACTTCGCCAAACCGCCAATCTTGACATCATCAGCCGATCAGCGGCAACCACGTTAGCTTATCCTCGATTGACCTTCGATCAAAATTTGCATGAGGAGAACTTAAAGCCAACAAACGGCCCTCTTTTCCTCATGCACAGACTAACTTGCACGGAATTACAGAAGTTCATAGTTCAATTCTATTATACGAAAATACTTATTGTCTTTAAACACTGAAAACATCTAAACAAAACGTTCTGAAATTAATAGCAGTCGCTGCTTTTGTAAATAAGTCCGCATTATTTAATTTACTGGGGATAAATTCAGGGTCAAACACTCCATCATTTACTAGTCTTTTAATAAAGTGATATTTTATGTCTATGTGCTTCGTTCGGCGATTTTCTATTGGCAATCTAAAAAAATCAATGGCAGACTTGTTATCACAAAATAGTTTACATTCTCATAAATTAAACTTTAAAATTTCATCTTGTAAGACCTTTTTCGTCCACATTAATTCCTTCGCTGCCTCTGATAAGGCAATATACTCCGCTTCCATGGTTGATAAACTTACACATTTTTGTTTAACAGTTTTCCAAATTACTGGTAGTTCATCTAAATATAATATAAATCCTCCCATGGACATGCGGTCATCTCCTATTACTTGCATAATCAGCATCTGAATAACAATATAAATTTAGATGTTTAATCTTCGATAAGTTTAACTTATATAATTTAGTACTATTGAGATAACCAAGCAATTTCAACAATGCTTCCCAATGCCTAATTCCAGGATTCTCCTGAAATTGTGATAAGATATTCACTGCATATGTAATATCAGGGCCTTGTCCTGTTAGCTACAAAAACTAAACATCCCCAACAGATTTCTAAAGGGTAATGTATGCATTTCCGCAATTTCTGCACTTGTAGATGGACAATCTAATTTTGTAAGAATAGTGCCTTTAGCTATGGGAAGTGAAGTTATTGGTATCTGGAAATGTTTAAATTTTTCAAAAATTTCTTCGATATATTTTTTGCTGATGTATAAAAACCCCATTCTCATTCTCTAAGAATTCAATTCCAAGTAACGTTTTAGTTTTGCCTAATACTTTAAGATAAAAAAAAACTTACTCAGCTGTGAAATTACTTTATCTATACTTATATTGATCTTTACTAAAAATCACAATATCATCATCTACATATAATATATAACAAGAGAAATTACATTTGAACTCCTTATAAACACAATTACACCATTGTATTTTCTTAAAATGTAGATTTTCTAAAGTACTTTCAAATTCACAAAACCATTCACGGCCGCTTTGATGTAGACCATAAATGGCCTTGTGTAATAAACACACTTTATTTTTCTCTTCAATAAATCCCTCTGGTTCAATTCCTTCTGGAACCCTTAAACACAATGTCTTAATATTTTATAAAGTTTAAAATTCACAAACCATTCACGGCCGCTTTGAGTAGAACATAAGTGGCCTTGTGTAATAAACTCACTTTATTTTCTCTTCAATAAATCCCTCTGGTCGGGTCATATATATTTTCTCATTTAGGTTTGCATATAAATATGCGTTCTTTACATCTAACTGACAATTAGTCCATCCATATAAACATACCAGGATAGTGAAAAATATTCTTATGATTGAAAAATTTACTACAGGACTGTAAACGTCATCAAAATCTTCACCTCTTTTCTACCTGAATCACTGTGCTACTAAACGTGCTTTGTATTGATTGATACTAAATGTGCTTTGACTCTTTTCATTTCTTTTTAGCGTATAGACCCATTTGTGTCCTAGCATAGTTTTTATTTCCTCTTTGGCTTTTCGACTAATTCCCAAAACCTTTCTTTTCTTCATTGTGTCATTTCTTCTTTTCTTCTTCTTTCATTGCTTATATTCTTCTTCTTCATTTACTGATTTTTTCGTTTGCTTCTTTAAAATTTTGTGGGATAACAATTTCTACGGAATTTGCCTCTTTCAGACACAGAGCTAGTCTCCTGTTCTACAAAATTAACTTTCCCCGAGTATTCGTTTTTTCCACTAAAATCAAACTTATCTTTTTCAATTTAATATTTCTTGCCTCACAATACTTTTCAATATCATTATAGGATCTAAAACGGGTGTCTGTTCCCTCTACATAATAATATATGTCTGTACGTGTTTCCATCTGGCCTTTTAACTGCTTTTCTTTGCCAGTTTAAGTCTGATACTTCTTTCGGAGGTAGATTTGTCATCTGACAACTTTATTTCTTCTCTAGAAGTTTCCTGTTCTTCATCTGATTCTGCTAATAGCTCAGATTCCTCTAGTCTTTTAAACTTAGTTTTTGATTTCTGTTCCAGGATGCCATTTGCTGCATTCAGTTTTTTTCATCGAACTTCACATTACAGGTTTCTATTAATCTGCGTTCTTCTGGTAGCCATATCCTATAACCCCTTTTAGTTTCCTTCGCATATCCTACCATGATTCCTTCTTTGCACCTCACTTTGTAATTTATTTCTAATCTGTTTTGGCACACCAACATAGGCTTTACAACCAAATATTTTAAAATAAACAACACTGGGTTTTTCTATTTAGGAACATTTCATAAGGGGTTCGGTTGCTTTTATGACATACTCTGTTCCACGTATGTACGAAATAGCCAAAAGCGGGTAGGTACCCCTTGTATTATGGCGAAGTTGTTTGATTTATCATCAAGTTGTTGTTTCATTTATGGTAGCCTGAGTAGTTGAATGTTATGGAAACCCTATTGTGACGTAATCGGGTGCATGATTCTGGGAAATTTTGAATCATGGGATGTTTTATAAGCGTTTTTGTGGTGTGTGTTGGTGTACGTCTAGTCGAACATAAAAAACGTTTATATGGATTTGAATGGGTTTGTAGGAAGAAAGGTTCAG